ACTTACCTGGCTATGGTGGCAGCCATCTTCATCACCTTGGTGGGCGCTGCAGCAGGGAGTCCCCAACTGGGGAGAGCTACACCAAGAAGCTTCAAGGCAGGGTTGGGGCATGGCGGCCTGAGCAAGAGCAGCCATAGCTGCTTTGGGCATAGCTGCTTTGGGTTGTCCTTTGGACGTCTGGGCAAGACCTAGTAGTCCGCCATAGCCTCGGCCTATGATAGTGAAGAGTGAAGGGAGGCGGCCATGGCTATGGTGGACCTCAAGTGATACCTGCAGTAGAAGAGGAACTCGGACATTGATTCTGGACCAGTCATTCAACATTGTATTATTATTTCTTGTATGAATAAGAGGAGGGGGAGATAAGGAGGAGGAGATTGTTGGGCGAAGAAGAAGAGCCTTGTCATTGTCTTTGCTGGTGTACATCTTCTTCTTCTTCTTCTACTCCACTCTCACCTCTCAAGTTCATTCATTTCTTTCTGCAATTGGATAGCATTGTACTTTCCAGTGGATGTGTATCTCGAAATTGGCCAGGGTCATAACAAATGAGAAAAATGAATGGTTTCAGTGTGCCCTTCATGTTTGCTGTCTTCTCCTTATATGGGGGACAGCTGCATTTTTACTACTCTATATTCTTCTCTCTGAAAGGCATTCCACGATGCAGACCCCAAATTCGAATTCCAGGGTCAAGGTCTCAGGCCAAGGGAGGGCAAGTCGGTCAGTTTCAGAAAAGTCACAGTCGGGTACCTTAGGAGTCAAGTCCAACAGGCACCTGGTGAACAGTCGCATCCCAGAGGCAAAGGTTGCATTCTATAAGCCAAAGTCACGTCCCATATTGAAAAGTCATATTCCACAGGCAAAGGACACTTCTCCAGGCAAAAGTCGTGTCCCAGAGGCAAGAGTCACATCCCACAGTCAAAAGTCATGGGTTCCACAGATGAAAAGTCGTGACTCACAGACTCAAGCAGCAGCACACCAATGACAATTCGGGAAAAGTACCAGGCCATGACATTCTGAAGCAAGCAGGCCGTGGGCATGTGGTGCCGGGTCCAAGTCAAGACAAAGGAAGCAGAGGCTGGGACGAGTTGAGGCTCAGTCCAAGTCAATATAAGGACTGGCCAGCCACATTTCAAGGGGGAATGCTCATTCGTGAGGTGCTGCTGAAGCGCTTCTGCGCTATCTGCGAGTGGCATGCGTGAGAGCCCTGGTGGGCAGCGCTGTGCTGAGAGGGAAGGCGGTCATAGCCGCATAGCTAGTAGCAGGAGAGAGAGTCAGGTGATAGTGGATGTATTCAGAGTCAAGATTCTCAAGTAGAGAGGGGAAGAGAGAGAGAGAGAGAGAGAGAGAGAGAGAGAGAGAGAGAGAGAGAGAGAGAGAGAGAGAGAGANGAGAGAGAGAGAGAGAGAGAGAGAGAGAGAGAGAGAGAGAGAGAGAGAGAGAGACAGGGAGAGAAGAGAGTCACATACCTTGATGAGGATGCTGGAGTTGGGTTGTCGAACTCTGCGCTGATGGGGGCTTGGTGACTGGAACTCTGATATGATAACGTGTTGGAACTTTCTAAGCGGCGCTACTCTGGACTTTGCATCTCTGGTCTCCAGTGTGGATTTCGTGCGATGTCTCAATGTGTGTGTGTGCTCAAGGTGTCGAGCAGAGAGGCTCAATGCATCTCAGTATTCTTTTTTTTTTTAATCTCACACTGGCTACCCGGAGCTGCGAAAGGAGAGATTGACTACACTAGCCCCCAACTCTACCAGCTAAGTACTATGGAAACGGGGACGAAGCTTAAATTCACTAGCCTGAACTAAGTTATCCTAAGGTTATGGATCTACACCTACCTATCTCTGCTCAGTGCAGGGAGCAGTACCCAAGCTCCTAACACACCTGGCGCGGGCTGGAAAGAGCCAAATACTTCCCCAACCAGCCAGGAGGCCCAAGCCAACAATCTCCTCTGGTGAACCCGAAGCATACCCCCAGGAGGCCACACGGGGATGGAAAGGACGACATTGGGAATTGAACCCACGACCTCCTGAGTGCCACTTACATGCTTAACCAACTGAGGTAGCCCGAACCTGTGTGTCTTTTTTATTTTATGTTTTTTTTTGTCTGATCTTGTGCTCTGCCTGTTCCACGGGTTTCTGTAAACCCTTCTTTTGACTGTTTTGCAGCAAGGTTATCAGTGCACTGTCGCCTGACCGTGTTCAGAGTGCTCTTCAGGCTTTATGCATGCCACTCGTGGTTCCCTTACAGGTAAGGCAAACACTCGTTTCTTGTTTCGTTACCCATGCTGCCCCCAACTCGCGAATGTAGTAATGCGGTAAAGAATCAAAATCAAATCCGCGTAACTCATACTGACTAACTCTCCTGTTTTGTTTTGTTTTGTTTTGTTTTTTTACACTGACTAACTCTCTAATGTAGTAATGCCGTAAAGAATTGCAAAAATGAATGCTGCCCAGTATTGAAAAGTGCAGACTGCCTAACGGTGAGAGTACCTGTGTGGTTCGAGCAAATGGCTGCTGTTAAGTGCGCGCCGATTTTGACTTAGTTCGTTATGGAGGATACAGTATATGCTAGTTTGAACTACGACATTGTTCAGAACTTGTCCAAATTTCTAAAAAAACAATACCTTACCTTATCCCAAGAGGCTCGACTCTTGCAAGAGTCAATGAAGGCCTCTGGCGAAGCGAGCCTGCCCTAATATTCAGTGGGCCTTCTGGCGTCACATTCTTCCTTCCCTCCGTGCACCCTCTCTCCCCGCACCATGAACCACTTCAGCACTTGAGAAATCTGTCCATTGTGGATGTATAGTGAGGAGGAGATCATTCTTTCCCTCACCTTCTTCGGGTATATTAGTCTGCAAAGATCCATTGCCTCTTTTACCCCTCCCATCCTCATTTCCCTTCCGGTCTCTTCCCGCCCTGCATCAGATACTGTGCGTAGAATCAGGATTTTTTTTTTCTTTTTCTTGGTCCCTCATGCTGTTGACGCCACATATGCTGTGATATATGATGCCTTGTGGTGTGGTTGGTGTTTTCCTTCATTTCGAAAATCGTTTTGATCTAGGCTACCAGCCGGGCCGAGCGGGTCACCTTGTTTTCCCAGGCGGCCCCGCCGTGCAAGGACCAAATAAGGTCCCAGCAAAAAAAAAAAAAAAAAAAAAAAGTCCAAAAAATATGAAAAAAGAACTATGTTATGCAGAAAAATAAACTGAGCAACTTTTGCCTCAGGGTCACATCGAAATTTTTTACCAAAAAAAAATCAAAAAATTAAAATATGCTATATAGTAATATTATTAGTATTTATTACTAACGTACATATTATTTTTAATTTTTTAATTGTTTTTTGCCCAGCTGGGCAGGTGGTCTTGGGCCACTCTGGTAGCCTAGGTTTTGATTCGTTTTTCTTTCGTGGGGGAAGGCAGGGGTTGGGGGGGGGGGGGGGGGGGGGGGGGGGGGGGGGGGGGGGGGGGGGGGGGTCGTGAGAGATGGGGGGAGAGATGGGGGGTTATTTTGGAGTGAGATCTTGGTTCAGAACGGGACTGGAAGTTTGCAGTCGCTTTTTCTTCGTTTTGAAAATTGTTTTGATACGAGGTCGTCATTATCGACACTTTGCGAAATGTGAATGACACGATTTGCCAAGCACTGCCCAAGTATGTATTGTATACTTGAATAGAATGAGTAGCTCCATTTGGAAAAGAAGGGGAGCACCAGTAACGCCTGCATTTGCTTATGCCTTTGTGTTTCCTTTTGGTAACAACAGGAAGTTGTTAGAAATGCCCAGCAGGCAGGACCACAGGATGTGCCAAGTGCTGGCCAATATATTGTACATATTGATAGAATTGCGAATATTTTCAGGTATGTATGCGGAAACTGTTTTTTTTTCACATCCTTCGTTCTTATTAAAGGAGAGGCTGCGGTCAGTCGAAGACTGGATCCCGTCCTCTATTCATGGATCTTCTTCTTCTTCTTCTTCTTTGTCGTCGCCGTCGCCGTCTTCGTTGTTGTCTTTGTCTTTGTCTTCGTCTTCGTCGTTGTCGTCGTCATCGTCGTCGTCGTCGTCGTTTTCGTCTTCGTCATCTTCATCTTCGTCTTCGTCTTTGTCTTCGTCTGCGTCGTCGTCTTCGTCATCTTCCTCCTCCTCCTCTTCTTCTTCCTCTTTTCTCTTGTTGTTGCTGCCTCCGATGCCGCCGTTGTTATTGTTGTCTTCTTCTAGTTGTTGTGGGGCGGTGGTGATGGTAGTTGTCATCGTCAGCTGGTTGTCGAGAATTGGGATTATCTGTAAGTTGGATGCATTGCGGTGTGTGGTTATGGGCGTGTCTGAGCTGGTTTTTGAGCTGGTATTTCCATTTGTGGTGGCTGCGCAAGTCTAGGATGGACCCCTGTGATCAGTTGTCGAGGTAATAAGGACAAATAGGAATGGGGCATCTGTTAAAATTGGAATGATACAGAAAAGATTAGCATGGCCCCTGCGAAATGATGACACACATCAATCGAGAAATGGTAGGAAAGAAAAAAAGAAAGGAATTGAACCGAGATATCCAGCTGTCGTGCAGCTATGCCTGTAGCTTGGTGATGCCTATGGCCATTCCCTATCCACTATTGGGCTGCTGAAGTCCAGCGTTGGTGGTGGTTGTCGTCGCCGTTGCCGTTGCCGTTGCCGTTGCCTTTGCCGTTGCCTTTGCCGTTGTTGTTGGTGTTGTTGCTGTTGTTGCTGTTGTTGCTGTTGTTATTAGTGTTGCAGTTGTTGGGGTGGTTGTGATGGTTGTCAAGTAGTTGTCATTGTCAGCTGGCTGGTTTGCCTGGTCCAAAAAGTTCGCCTGGTCCAAAAAGTTTGCCTGGTCCGAAAAGTTCACGGCTGCAGATTGTTAACTGCCAGTACATGGCCCCAGCCTTGCTAAAAGAAACTCATTGCCTGGCCCGAAAAGTTTGGGGCCAGCATGTGGTCGATAAAAAAAACTGTACGGATGGCGTATGGGCCTCGCTTTTCGGCCTCTGGAAGGGGCCCGCGGATGATGTATGGCGTGTACTGGTGGTTTAAGACTTGGGATCATCACACTCCAAGGCGGTGGATCTTGCCAAGATGGTATTTCCATGTGCGGTGGCCATGATAGCCTAGAGAAACCCCTCTCTTTGCTGGTATTTCTATTTGCTGTGGCCATGAAAGTCTGGAGAGACCCCAAACCGTCGCTAGGTCGAATTGGAATTGACCTGGCAACGTAACCCATCGATGCTGCAGCTATGCTTGTAGCTTGTTGATGCCTATATGGCTATTCATTGCCCATCCACTCCTTGGCTACTGAAATCCTCAGGCTTTTCACTCTTTTTTAACAACTGTGCTAGCCCAAGGGGTGACTATTTTCCACTGATGTGGAGCAAGACTCATGGTCAAGCATATTTTTGTTCATGCATTGATCTGATTGGCATGCTTCTCCATCTACGTCGCAATGTTGATTACGTCCCAAATCAGTCCAATGTATATCAGTCAAATGTATAATCTGACAAATGTTTGCTGAGACTTATTGAATTGGTATGCATGTGACAGGTATGTTCATCGACCGGAGCATCTAGCGGTCGCCTTCGAGCAGATGTGGCCTCTTCTGAGAGTTGTCTTTGAGCAGTGAGTCCCGCAGCCCTTTGTAGACCCATCAGCCACATCCATCTCTCTGCAATGCCCAGACTTSAAAATCTCAGATGCCCCTCTGGTCACAATGCTCTGTTTGCCAATTTGTACCACAGGTGGTGCCCTGAGCGTGGGGCACCGCTGGTGCTGTGTTCATAATGCCAGGAAAGTACGAACCTGGCCACTATTACTGCCAGGTTCATGAGCCACATCCATCTCTCTGCAATGCCCAGACTTGAAAATCTCAGATGCCCCTCTGGTCACAATGCTCTGTTTGCCAATTTGTACCACAGGTGGTGCCCTGAGCGTGGGGCACCGCTGGTGCTGTGTTCATAATGCCAGGAAAGTACGAACCTGGCCACTATTACTGCCAGGTTCATGTTTAAAAGCGCGAACGTAGCACCAGTGGGATCTGCCCCGAGTTGTGCGCTGCGCATGGTGTCCCACATAGCCACTATACTATCGCAGCCAGGTTTATGCTTTCCAAGCACAAACAGAGCACCAACGGGATCTGGCACTGAGTGCTGTCCATGTAGCTGCATCTTGCACTCATTGTTGTTCAGCTGTTAGATACAGTAATCTTATGGTGTGAAGTGTACACCCTCCGCAAAAATAGAGGACTGAAAAAAAAAAAAAAAAAAAAAAAAAAACCCTCGGCTAATTCTGCCAAGGTAACTCCAGGTTGAATTGTGAGGTCCCCGACCTAGGTTTTCAATCTATTTTAAAATTTAATGAAATGATCCGACTTTTGTTAATAAAAAAAGAAAAAAAAAGAAAAAAAAGAAAGAAAAGAAAAAAGAACAGAAGAGGAAACAACCTTAGGCTCATGGTCTTTCGCAGTATATTCAGGGTACGGTGGCGGTATCCTCAAATATTTCCTCTCCTTACTCACATTCTTCTGCCGTCTTTGGCTGCTATGCGTTTCTGCAGAAGGGCAAGCGATACCCGTGTTATGGAGAGGCTTTGCCGTGCATGCAAGTATGCGGTAAGACTTGCTACCTCGTTCACGTTTTGAGAGCTTGGCGCTGTTCGTTCACATGACCGTCACCTGCGACTGGTTTTCTTTCTTCTATAACTTTCCTTTTGTTCGTGCTTTATCTATGCAGAGTCGCAGACTAGACGGGGTTATTTTCGATTGTGAGGAACTGGACGAGCGTATTTGGGGCAAATTTCAGTCCAGATGCAGTGATAATGACCGGGCGTTCTAGTTGGGTCACCAATATGAGAACGGAAGTTTATACGCTCGACACTGTTGGCAGAGAATTATGATCATCCAATTGGATTGTGAATCACAGAGGAAGCAGATTGATGGGCCAACATTGATTCGTAATAAAAAGAATGTTGTCGAAGATGCAAGTACGAGATCGATCACGACTCAATATTGCTAAGAACTACCAACATAGTGGAAGATGCGAGTCCAACCAGTCTGTCCAAAGTCGAAAGTGTGAACTACCGACAATGATCGAACTCGCAATTCTTTCTCGACCAGTTGAGCATGCAATATCCCAGCAATGCCCTCCTGTTAAGGTCAATGAGATGAAGGCCATGGACCGACGGGCCTGCCGTCTTCACCCGAATAGAACGCTCGGTCATTATAGCCATATTCGGGGCAACTTTCAGACCAGATGCAGCTATAATGACCAAGCATTTTACTCAGGTGAAGATGGTAGCTCAGTTGGTACACCCATGAACCGTTGAAATACAGACTACACTCTGAATTACCTGGGACCGGTCAGTTCAACGATGCTAGCGTAAGGCCAAAAAAAAAAAAAAAAGTAAGACACCAGTGTTGCACACCCCGACGGTTGGTGGCCTTTGACTAGTTGGTTGCCGACCAGCCGACTGGTCAGCTGGTCGGAACCTGCCGGTCGGGGATCGTCGGCACCCCGCACAAAAAAAGAAAAAGGTTCCAGAACCCCTAATAACCCCACCAACACCGCTGTGATGTGTGAAAACTTGCACACGTGCGCGCGCGCGAGCAAGCGGGAGAGAGAGAGAGAGAGAGAGAGAGAGAGAGAGAGAGAGAGAGAGAGAGAGAGAGAGAGAGAAAACAAAGAGACCTTTAGCATTAATCAGAAAACCCCTGTGGGTAATCCTAGAGGCCCCTCCAAATAATTAGCAAGGACCACCTCTCCACGGAAGTGCCACTTCTTGAACACATTGCAGGTGTTACATACTGGATTCCACACAGGCCCTGTTAGGCCTGACAGGCTAGGTCTAGGGGGTCATCCCAGACCATGGCCATGCTGGGCCAGTCCGGCCTGGGTTAAAGGCCGGACCTTTGGAAAGGCCGACGGTAGGCCCCAGCAAACCGGTTTTAGACCCGGGCCTGCAACTGCAGGCCCTGAGCGGGAAACCGGCCCAAGTGTTTTTCGTTTGGGCCTGGCGGCCAAGGATTGAGGCTGCCACTTCCCGCGGGTCTGATCTGAACCGTTGATCGACGGGAACGGTCCAGATCACGGCGCGGCTTCACCAGCAGCCAGGCCGAACAGGCCGCCGCCGGTACTTAGGACCAGCCAGCAGTCTATTCGGGACAGACTCAGGGAGCGGCATTGAGGAGCAATGCTGCGCTGTTTGGGTTAGCGCAGCTCCAGGCAGCAGCGCTGGGTTTAGCGCTAGCTGTAGAGGCGAGAGAGAGAGAGAATAACGACTTACCTGGCACCTACCTGTGAGCGCCATAGCTCCAGCGTCGAAGGCGGGTCTCCAGCGGCTCCAAGGCGGCACCTTGCACCTGCAGGTTGGTGCTTGAGCACTGGCTCCGGGCAGGAGGATCTTCCTCCACCCCACATCTCCATTTCCACCTCTCCTCTGCCCCTTTCAGTCTTCTTCTTCTTCTTCTTCTTCATCTTCTTCTTCATCTTCTTCTAACCCCTTATATTCTCAGGTTACTATGGGACAGAGATTGATGGTGAGGTATCGGTGACATCACGACTGAGACTATTTCAGAGTAGGATGTTGGGAGGACTATTTGGAGATCTGTTACCAACGGCATTTCAAGATTCTGTAATTTCAACATTCTGAGATCCTGTATCTTCGGCATTTCGAGATTCTGTATCTCCAACGTTTCGGGTTACTATTTCAGTGACTTTGTCTTGGCGCTATCTCCTCCTCCCCCTTCGTCTCTTCCCCCTACATTCGTCCGTGCGTGTTGTGTAAAGGCCCTGGCGCATCTTCTATGTTTGAGCGCCAGGCCTCCTCACCCGATGCATGTATGTATGGGAGCCTGTGTGTAGTCCGAGTCAGATGTGAGACAGATCCATGTTTTCAAGTCTTCCGCTGCATCATATTTCTCTTTGTACCAGGACACCAACTATATATGGTGCTCCATCATACTTGTGTTCACTTGCACTAGTGTGCAACAGCAGCAGGACGCCAACTATATATGGTGTAGATTCGCATTAACGTCCGTGTTTCAGCAGTTATGGGAGCACAGAGCACGTGATTATCTGGGCAGTAGCAGGCCAACTCACCACGTGATTTTCAGGGCTTCCCTCCACTACTCACCAAATGTGCAAAACTAGAATGAATCTTCTGCTAGAACATGGAATCATACGCAGCCAGATGTTTTGTCTTTTGTGCAAGTGGTGACGAGTGGAGCCAGACCCTTAGGGCCACTGCCCGTAGGGAAAAAAAAACAAAAGAAAGAAAGAGAGAGCTACGGCAGTAAGTAGTTGTAGGCTTGTAGCCCATAACTGCTGGAACACAGACCTGAATTCGGATCCAGAAGATATATTGCTGGCCTGCTCCTCGCTCATCCGAAATTCGTCGAGTGTCTCACTGTCTCCGCTGAGAAATATGAGCCCTGCAGATTCTCTGCTGAGGTCCCTTCAGAAAAAGACGCTATATGCAATGAGGAATACGGGGCCCGAATTGTTTTTCGCTCTGCCCTTAAAGTCTGTAGAAGGGAGGGGCACGTCTGGCTACGTCAGCCACCCCCAATACCCCTATACACCCCCTCGTACCTCCATATCCCCCCGCAACACCCTCCCCCCCCCCCCCCCAATACCCCTTATACCTCCCCTATACCCTCCCCCCGCCCCTTCTCCGCATCCCAAAAAGTTTCTCAGCGAATTTGGGCTGTACTCAGCAAGCGCAGTACAGCCCCTAACTCAGATTTGAAAAAAAATCAGTAGTCTGACTGGTCGGCAGACCGCTGGCCCTACTGGTCGGTTGCAAAACGGTTGGCGGTCGGGGTCGGCGGTCGGCAGGCATGCAACCCTATAAGACACCTTTAGAAAAAGTAAGATCGAAGGAGGGTTCGGTTGTGGCAGTCCCCCCCTTGACAGGGGACTATGGTAAGGCTGTCCCCTCTTTTTCGAGAGACACATTTATGAAAAACAAGTAATCTTTAAAAAAGAGATTAAGGCGATGGCGATGGCGACAACGTTGAGAGAGTGATGGCTTTGAGGATGATGAGAATGGTGGTGCTGATTGCAGTGGAGAATGCTATCTCAAATTCGCAATGACAATTGCGGCGCCAGCTGTGACGATGATCGTGAAGAAGAAGAAGAAGACAAAATGTTCTTACCTGTGCTCAACTCTTCTTCTCGATCCAGTTGACCGAAGCTATTTAACAGTTTTGGAGATTGACTGAGCCTCGTTGAGTGTCGTCCTTTTTTTTTCTTTTTTTTTTCTGTCAATTAGAAACTAGTAAATTAGAAAGATTGGAAGTATGACAAGCAGAATAATGACCGGGCATTCAATTCGGGTGAAGACATAGTAGGGGCTGTCCGGACCCCTTATGAAATAGGTTTGTAATGATAACTACACCATGCATTTGTTGGAAACCCCGAGTACGAAAAACTAAACGACCTTGCATTTCTCTTGCTGCAGATTCGAAGTGCTGGCAAGCACATGGGACCTGTTATTGGCCCGTTGTTAGAGGAGGTCCAGAGGTGGTTCGCAGAACATAGACAACCCTGTTTACTTTATGTTGCAAGTGAAGTTATCAAGGTCAGTGACATGATCTGTTTTCTATGCCTCTCTCTCTCTCTCTCTCTCTCTCTCTCTCTCTCTCTCTCTCTCTCTCTCTCTCTCTCTCTCTCTCTCTCTCTCTCTCTC